TGCTGCACACAGACAGCTGGTGTGATCAGCTCTGAAAAGCCTAGATCACAATTTGCAGATCACGTTTATTTTTCACGGAGATCGGCCGCGGATTCCTCTTCCGGTCGGCGTTCTAGGAATCAAAACTAGGAATCGAAATAAAAAAACTTTGAACGATTCCGGGAAAAACTAACAGTTGGAACCGGTTCCAATCGATGCTCGACCCTATTCACTTATCACTTAGAGCAGTAGTTCCCAAACTTTTCAGCCTGACCAACAGATGTTCCTTCATATAGTTACGTTATTTAGAAATTTTCATTATATTTGGAAAGTTTTAATTTATATATAAATATATAAAGCTGTTTTAAAATTTTATTTTTGACCTTTTTTATGATTATATGACACACTTTGACTTCCATAAGTAACGCATCGGCATCTGCCCCTTTTTTAGGGCTTTTTTTACATTGTTGCTACGTCTGTCACGTTAGCTGTGTTTTTACCATCGTTTCCACATCCATCACGTCCCAGAGAAGGTTAAACAAACATCAAACCCAACGTTTGGAGCTTGTAAACTCCACACACCTCTCGTGCAGCACCAGCTGTCTGATGCTGCAGCAGCGTCAATCTTCCCGGCTGGATGAGTGAATTTCTTCATCAGAGTCAATATTCTACTTCATAATCGGAGTCAGTCATTACCAAAGTGATCAGTCAACAAAGACCAGACCTGCCGGCAATTATTCGTTTTATCTAATTATTTGCCCTCTTCATGCTGCGCACATCTCCTCCTCTTCCCGACTGGGAGCCTCTCGGCGGGAGGCGATTTTCAAACTCTAAAAACTCCAAAATTTGCTCAGCCTAGGGATGGGTACCTTTGACATTTGAATCGATTCGGTACCAATTCCCGGTACCTAGGAATCGATACCGGTACTTAACGGTACCAATTTTCGATTATTTTGAGTGTTTAATATTTTAATTCTCTTTTATAATTAAATACATATTTTTCTCAATATATAACCATATTTGATAAATATCACGATAAATAACATACAACTGTTTGTATTTTAACATCGTCCTTGTAGTTTTATAAGCTGATAATTAAACTGAAGCAAACATCTTTACTGTGCACTAAATTTACTGTGCATCTTCATTCCTTTTGCCGTCCTTTTTCATTTCATTTTTCCTACTGGGAAGTTAGAATTTCCGAGGAGAAAGCGAACGCACCATTAGCTGATAACAACGGTGGCAATGGAAGCTAACATATCAAGCTAACGTTATCTTAAACAGTTTATTTAGCTGCTGGAGCAGATTAAAACGATGATCGTTGTCGCTGGTTTCATCTTCTCCCAACCATCCGTCGCATTTAGTAAAGTGAAGCCAAACTTTAGAGTGTGTTCATGTTCTTATAGTCGGAAATTCTGAGTTCCGAGGAGAAAGCGAACGCACCATTAGCGGAACGGAAGCTAACATATCAAGCTAATGTTATCTTAAACATTTTATTTACCTACCGGAGCAGATTAAGATGAGGATGTCTCACTTAGTTCGTTGTCGCTGGTTTCATCATCACCCAGTTACCCATCACATTTAGTGAAGTGGACCCAAGCTTTAGCGTGCGTTCTTTCTACCATGCTGCTCTGGTTACAACTCACTCGCAGCGACCGACGACATAACGCTCTTGCGCATGTGCAGCTGTCTAGGCAAGTTCTCGTTATGAAGGACGGGTACCGAAACGAGGCACCGTTTCAAATGACGTGAATCGGTGCTCAGTCGGTACTATGGAATTCGGTCGGTACCTTAAAAAGTACCGAATTCGGTACCCATCGCTAGCTCAGCCTGAAGGTTCCACATCTCCACTATCTTCTGGAGTAAAGTAGTAACTTCACGAGGGATCATATTTGTAGATGAGACTTGTTAAAGTCAGCAATGAGGCTTTGGCGTTTATAACGAGTAAGTCCCAAAACTGACAACAATGTACAGAAACTAGAACCAACATGCATAAACAGACAGATCGGTCCCGCCTACTTAGGCCTACGTTGTTGGTCTTTTTTAAATACGCAGTAAACGTTGCTTGTCTTTTTCGCTTCATCCTGCATCCTAGCAGCAACCACTTTGGCGCCTCTGGAGTTGGTGTTTGCTTACGTCATGCTGCATTAAATGTAATTGGAAAAAGGAGCTTCAAGCGCTTAACATCCGATTTAGTTTTCTTTCTGGCCTTAAGCCTGGTTTATGCTTCTCCGTCAGCTCCGCAAGGGACAGACACACACGGATTGACGGAAGCGTTTTGCTCTCATACTTCTCTGTCTCCTGGAGAGCGTTGCAAAGCAATTCCCCGGCAGGACAACAGAGGGCGTAGCGCTGTTCTGTGGTATCCTGTCATGTATCGGTCTAAGATAGTGTGTTTATATTGTGTTTTTTGTGTATATAAGAGACTTTTAACACGGACATATTTGTCTCTCATCCTCCTCCACCTCTTCATGCGCTCGCCACCTCTAAACCCATGTTTCCTGTCATTTCCGTCCACAAATAAAACGCTTGCTGCGCATCTTTTCACTCCTTCAGTCACGGGAGAATGAAACGTTCATATTTTTAGAGTTTTTTCGCGAGGTATTCTTCAAGCTTCTCCGTGTCTGCCGCTAGTTATCCTCGGCTCTCTTTGCAATGGCGGCGCTGTAAACAACAGCGGCATCCTGACCAATCACAAGCTTCCGTAATCCGTCTCGTTCGACGGATGTTTAAAAAAGTGTGCTCGACTCCGTACGTACTTGCGTGCCTGCCGGAGCCCTACGCAAGGACAGATAATGGCGTTGCGTGTCTCCGCACTGACGCAGACGGAGAAGCATAAATCAGGCTTTAGCGCGGGGGACGGATCGGGGTCGATCTGAATTTTGGGGGACAGATCCCCCCCGTCCCCCACCCTAACTGCGCGCCTGTAACTTTGGTCAGGCTGGACTGCGGAGACACATTTCTACGCTTCAGGACAATAAAGTGGGTTCTGATTCAGATTCAAACTAACCATTAGCTTGTCAATCTGGTCTGAATTAAACTTCTCCCCTGCGAACTGAAGTTCTTCAGCGAGCTATCTAAAGCAGGTAAGATATCATCTATAACCTTTGCCCTTTAAACAACCACTAAACACGGTTTAATCATTTCTTTGTAACGTGCTTTATCACATTCCAAACTTCTAACTGCATCCCTTTTTCTCTAAATGGGTGCTTTCCTGGAATATTACAGAAAGTGTACTACAACCCTACTACAAGTGCCCAGAGCTGTGCATGCTGCTGCATGTCAATGATAAAGTCTATCCTAGTCCTGTAGCTCTAGGAATGTTCACGCATCTTCAAATGAAACGTGGACTTCCCTAAAATTTAATTTTACACAAGTATGATCAAGAGAATAACCACTCTTACATTTTAGATTTTACAAAGCCAGCTCTGTTAGAATAACAATCGAGCATGTAAAGTCAAACGGGATTTAATTGCCCCGCTTTGCGCCGTTTGCTTTTCTTTTTAAAGCCATCACAGTGACAGGGACTTAAAGCATCTGTGTAGATGGAGGAAAAGTGGGAAGGACGGCTCCATATGCGTTCCTTCAGCCCGAGGGGACAGCTTAGTCCAACTGTCTTTTCCTGCCATGCTCATTTGGCCTCAGCAGTCATCATGTCTTGTGCTAAAGGTCTCTCGTTGCTACGAGGCTCCTTGGCGCTATCTGCGAGCTACAGACGAACAGCACACTGATTAAACGTGTCTTCATTAAAGCGATTACATGCACAAGAGGGCTCGGTTCCCACGGGCAGCCGGCTAACGACAAAGGAGTGGAGGCAGAGAGGAACGGGGCTGTTGGTGCACGGGGGGCTTGGTTCAGCGAGGCCAGGACGGCGGTTTGATGGCGTTCATCTGCCCGATCTTTGAGGACTAAAAAGTCTTTTAACCAAACAAGTCATGTGAGGTGGTGAGCTGTCTCCTCCTGAAGGGGACAGACATCATATTTGCCCTGGCGAACATCCCTACCTGACTCACCACACCTACAGGCCGCTTCCGGGTCATTGAGCTTCCAGCATGGAGGACCTTGCCAAAGACACGGCAGAGACATTGCTTCTGGTTCATTTAATAAAGTCAGCAAGTGTTTTAGTGTCTAAGACGGAAAGGAGAGAGAGTTAAAGTTGCAACGAAGGCCAAATGAACGTTAGCATTAGCTTTGAGGCGTTCTCTAGGCTTGTCCTTTTCTGACTAAAGTTCTGCAAGACGTGAAATTTTCCCCTGAAGCACGACTTGTGTTTCACGACAGCAAACTCTCAGCAGAAACGGACTTTCAGATATTTTAAATTCTCTGAAACATGATTCACTTTAAATAACTGCAGGTTTGCAGCCGACTTTCCTCCTTACGAATGATCCATTAGTACAAAAAAGACGAATTTAATCGTTTCCTTGAAGTTGTGGGGTTCAGGCTCGCACAGTTCACCTGGCATTGGTCTCTCCTCCGGGCTCAGCCAGCAGCCTTCATGCACCGCTGTGATGTGCTAATGGCCAATGACGGAGAGAGAAAAGGCATCTTTATACGGCCTAGCCGCGGGCGCCGCCCGCACCGCTGTGGATGATTGCACCTCCACGCTCGTCTCTCTCTGTGCTGCTTTGTTCTCCCTCATCTTGTCTGTCAATGTGCATCACGCCCACGTTCAAAGAAACTGACACAATTGTTCGTATGAGGTGTTTGCACTGTGCTTCTTTGAATTTCTGCCCAGAGTTGAGCATAATTATGCATGTGAGCAAAAAAAAAGCTTCAGAGCATCAGTGGCAATTAAAGGTCTCAAAAGGGAAGTCACGTTTCTGAAAAGCTCATTAAAGCTACTGAGAAAACGACCATAAAACACATCATAAAGAAGCATTCCTCATAACAATCACCAACAATGACATTTAGTAAAAGAGTGAGGTCACTCTGAAACTGGAACTGACCACTTACTGATCTTTAGCCCGTTTCCCTGTAACGACTTCTGTTTTTCTGTTTCCTCTGATGTCCTCCTGACCCAGGTTTCTGTGGGAGGAGCTCCGCCTAGACTGACCGCTGCATGACAGCTGCCCAACCTTCACTCCCACGGGCGGAGGAGGACGCAAGACACGATGGGTGCTCAAATTAAAGTCTTCGTAATCCTAAAAGAATAAAAGTAGCCTGTTAAATCATCTTTTGTTGAGAAATGACAGAGTTGCAAATCTCAACAATGACACCGAATTTTTGCTCGTTATTGTGCCCTGAGCCGACCTTTGACCTTTTAATTTTGGCGTTCTAATAAAGATTCGATGTCATGAGCATGACCCTCCCATGTTCCAGTCAGCACTGACAAAACAAAACGTCTTCAAGAAACCAAAGATGTTCAGTTGCCTTTATTTCAAACCCTTTTGGAAATCAAGATTAGATTTTAAAGTTTTTCTGCTGTTTCATCTTTACTGATGATAACTGCTGGTGGCAGTCGTCTTGAATGGGGTCGGCTGACTACTCCGTAAAATCTAGGCAGTGATTCAAGCCAGGTGGGTGCTTAACCTGAAGCTGCTCCCACGCATTTTTAAGTGATGTTTTATCAGGTAATCAGTAGTTAGGACCCTAAGTGCAGGTAACGTTATTTACTAAATACGTTCATTTTGTCTTTGTTATAAACTAAAATCATCGTCATCAACTAAAATTACTTTTATTTTATTTTAATAAGACAAACGAGGGTAGCGCTCCCAGAAAGTCGCTGATGCTCTGAGGAAAACTGAAGCTTTCAGTCGAAACTGTCAGCAGGTGTGATAAAACATCTTTAAAACCATGTTTGTCTTATTAAAGGAAAACAAGTGATTTTAATAGCAGGTAACGTTGCTCAGAACCAACAGAATACCTAAAAGCTGGAAGTTATGGCAAGACATTTTACCATTTAATCAACAACCGATCCTCTTTGTAACATGGAAATTCCTGGGAAGATTGTACTTTCTGAAATAAAAACAGTACTAGTTTAAATTTGTGTTTTCTTATATTATCCCAAAATAAAACTACACTTAGCTCTGAAGAGTTTTTACTAGTAACAGCTGAATTATGGCTATGAGAGTTTCTCTGGTTTCTGTTATCCACAGAATTCTGATGAGATGAAAACATTGTAGACAGGGGGGCAGCCAGAGATTTTGGGTCCCATGAAAATAAAACACGTTGGGCCCCCCGGCGGCTCGAACATAGGGGGTGCTGGGGCTCCGCCCTCCCAAATGCAAAGGGAGAAATTTTTAAAAAAAAAAAAAATCATATATATATATATATATATACTATATTAGTGTTTCAGATTTGCTTAACTATGTATGTCTACATGCATTCTTACTTATTTACACATCATTTTCACCAGCTGTCTCTCATTAAACAGTGAATTTCCTTCAACAGAATTAGCAATATCACTCCTCATCATCTGAGCTGTCCCACTCTCTCCTTTCTTCCTTTACTTCCACTCTTTATCCTGACCAACCCTGACATTCGGAGGATCCAGGCTCTGTACATAATGCAATTGATATATGCGTTACAATCTAGGCTACCATTTGTGATAAAATCATCATCAAAGTTACAACAGTCTTTAAAATGAATGAACAGGGAAAGTGCAACACAGACTCCTGCAGGATTGTTCTCCCATCATCAACACTAGATTTCAGATTTTATTGTGTTCAATGTTATTATATTAGGTTTATTTGTAATAGTTATTAAGAGATTTTGTTTCATTTTTCTCTGATGAAATTATATGTTGTAAAACCTCCCACGGTTCATTCAGCTTCAAAACATTTCATTTCAAGGTATTTAGAAGATATGTTTTTCCTTGTGTGTGCCTTCAAAAAGGCGCTTGGCAGTAACAGTAAACTCACAGTAATATCTGTAACATTAACAGACTAAATAACAACACTTCAACCTGCCCAGCATCCAAAACCATCTATACACTTTTACTGATTTATATAATTATCATTATGTGGAAAAACAACGTGTTTATAACCAAAATAGCCTTTTTATATTCCTTTTTAATAGTACTGATAGAGAAAGGAGACAAAAGGTGATTCCCACAGACCACTAAGCTGCTAGCTAACATGCTACATTGCTCACTTTCTTGAGGTTCACGTGAGGGGACACCAGCTGACACATCATCAGCTGCTGATTCTGGTAGGGACAAGGTCAACAACTCAATTACCATAATTCATTCACACATAGTTCCTCTCAAGCTAGCAAACAGGTTGAATTTAACCCCTCACTAACTAAACCCACCTTTCTTTGAGAAAAACTGACATACTGACGCCCTCTCTTCTCCCTGTCCTCTTTCTCCTTTTTTCTCTCCTTTTCTGGGACCCAGACTTTGTTTTTCCAGACATAATTGCTGCGCGAGCTCGAGCCTGGCCTACAACCATCGACATAGAACTGTCTGCAAACCAACTGACCACGCTACTCGGCCAGGAGGACTGTACCATTTCATGCCAAACGAGGGGGTGGTTCAAATGAGTTTTTCAAAATAAATGATAAATGACCCGCACTTGTATGGTGCCTCTCAGAGTAAGGACTCCAAAGCGCTTTGCACTACAGTGTTTCATTCATCCATTCACACACACATTCATACACTGGTGGGGATGAGCTACGATGTAGCCACAGCTGCCCTGGTGCGCACTGACAGAGGCGAGGCTGCCGAGCACAGGCGCCACCGATCCCTCCGACCACCACCAGCAGGCAAGGTAGGTTAAGTGTCTTGCCCAAGGACACAACAGCAGAATTCTCTATCCGGAGCCGGGATTGAACCTGCAACCTTCCGATTACTGGACGGCCCGCTCAACCTGTTGAGCTACTGCTGCCCAACTGACCAAGTCACTGCTTTGCAAGTCACAAGTAAGCCACAAGTCTTTCCAATCAAGTCTTGAGTCAAGTCCAAGTCAAAGACAACCAAGTCCAAGTCGAGTCCAAGTCTTTAACTTTGAATTTTCAAGTCATCTGTAAACTTCAGTTTAATGACAGTGATAATAAATAAATTCCAGAAATAAATCTTCTTAAAGCTTAATTTATTTGCTCAAACAGCAGAAAGTGCAACTGATAAAGTGTTGCTGCATTTAGCAATAAATCAAACCCAGAACGAAGAATGATTTATGATTTTTGTCCATGTTGCGCCACTTTTGTGCCAAAATATCAAATATGCTCAAGTCATCGTCAAGTCAACAGATGCAAGTCGATTCAAGTCGCAAGTCATTGGCGTTCAAGTCCGAGTCAAGTCGTAAGTCTTTATAGATTTTACCAAGTCATGTCAAAGTTATTTAAATAATGACTCGAGTCCACACCTCTGATAACTGGTAGGGCATTATTTTAAAATGAGTGGAATATCCGTTTGAAAGCAGTCTACTAAAGGCGTGATGTTTGTAACTAATCAGTAGAAACGGGCTGCAGACGCACACCGGAGCATCAAGACAAACAGAACAACAAAAAGGCTCATCCTGAGATGATTGCTCAGCTTGTGACAACAACACATGTAACTTCAGAGGTGTTGCCTTGAAACTAAAACAATAACCTGATTGTGACGTAATTCCTTATCTTACAATCAGCTCCACACCCACAACACTTATCTGGAATTTTCACATTTTGGTGAAAAACAAAGGCAGGTGCTGTTTAACCGCCGAGAGAAGAAAATGTATGGGCAGCCTTTCTGCACTGTTTAGACTTCAAACGGCTTCAGATGAATAGTGATTCATGTGTGCTCCCATGATTTAAATGAAAAATAAGAAGAAATAATTTTTTGTATGGCTCCTCTCAAGTAAAAAAAAAAAATCACAACGTGCTCCACAAGAAAAACATTAGAAAATGATAAAAACTAATAGGGAAAAGTCAAATTCATGATAAGAAATGTGAGGAAAGGGAATGAGAAAACCAATAAGAAAGAGCAGTGGATCCCGGGAAAGGCAGAACAGGTAGAAAGCTCCGAACAAGGAGAGGGAGGGGATGAAGGTCCCACCAAAGCCTTAACGGGTAAGTTAAAGGAGACCACTGAGTCCACTGATCTCAGGCTCAGGGGGAGAGAGGTCCAGAGTCTGGGGGCCACAGCAGCAAATGATCTGTCACCTTTGACCTTTAGCCTGGTGCTGCACAACCAGTAGGCTTTGATCACTGGACCTCAGGGACCTGCTGGGGGTGTAGGGACTAAGAAGATCACCAATGTAAGATGGTGCTTGTCCATGTAAGGCCCTATAGACCAGAACCAGGATCTTGAAATGAACCCTGAAGTTGACTGGCAGCCAGTGAAGCTGGAGGAGAAGCGGGGTGATGTGGGTGTGTTTGGAGGACTTGGTCAGAAGCCGAGCACAGGCGTCCTGAACCACCTGTAGACGGTTCAGGGAGGTTCTGCTCAGACACGTGAAAAGAGAGTTACAGTAGTCTAAGCGTGAGGAGATGGAGTGGAGAACTGTCTCAAGTTCAGAGCGGGACAGAATGGGACTCAGCTTAGCAACGTTCCTGAGATGGATTAGAATAGGCTTTATTAATCCCACAGTGGGGAAATTCACTTGCTACAGCAGCACACACACTTAGAGAAACAGGAAGAGGAAAGATAAGATAACCGGTAAACACACAAAGGCTTTAAGCTATTATCGTAACCTTCAACCACTAAAAACAACAAATAAAACAAAACTTGTGTTTCCAGAACTGTACAGCATAAGGGACACAGACATACTGATGTACATCTGGTGTTGCACAAGTACTGAACACATACTGAATATTGCATTTCGCTGATGTTATTTTGCACCAGTTAAACAGAGGAGTTATACACTCTTACTGCAGAGGGGATGAATGACCTACGGTTTTACATCGGGGATGTCTCAATCTGCCTCTGAAGGAGCTGGCCATGGCCTCCACATTGGAATGAAGTGGGTGGGAGGGGTTTTCCAAGATGTAGGTCAAACTCCAGTCCTCAAAGGCCGGCAGCCTGCATTTTTATGTTGTTTTCCTGTTCCAACACAGCTGATTCACCTGTGCAGCAGCTCATCAAGCTCTCCAGAAGCCTGTTAATCACCTGCTGATTGAAATCAGGTGTGTTGAAGCAGGGGAACACTAAAACATGTGGGACAGCGGCCCTCGAGGACCGGAGTTTGACACCTGTGATGTAGGTTATCTTCACCAGCATCCTCCTTGATGGAAGAAGGAAGAGCGAACAAGAGAACTGACATGAGAATCCAGGGTGAGAGCTGGGTCAAAGGTCACTCAAAAATTCCTGACAGAGTGTGAGAAGCAAGCTGACCAAGAGAGTCTCTGACTTTGGGAACCAGCTTGTCTGGGGCACAGATGAGGATCTCAGTCTTATCTTCACTCAGCTGTAGAAAGTTCCCACCATCCAGGTTTTGATAGAGTCTAAGCAGGTGTGGAAAAAGCTGCAGCTTAGACATCTCATGGGGCTTAAAGGAGATGTACAGTCGGATGTCATCTGAATAAAGATGGTAGGAGATTCCTTTAAAAGAGCACAGGATGTGTTCGAGCAGATAGAGGAGGAAGAGTAGAGGCCCCAGCACAGAACCTTGTGGGACACCAAAACTTGGAGACGGCCACAGATAAGAGGGCTAAGAAGAGCTGTTTAAGTAGAAGGAGTTCTATGGAAACCTGACTGAAGCTATCCTAGATGTTATGTTCATCAAGAGCAGCTGTGAGTCGTTTAGCCACAACCTTTTCCAAGATCTTGGAGATGAACGAAAGTTTAGGGATGGGTCTGAAGCTGCTATGGAGAGAGGGGTCAAGATTGGGTTTGTTAGGAGGCGGGTGGATAACGACGTTCTTAAAGTCAGCAGGGACCTGATCAGAAGCCAGAGAAGCATTAAATGAATACACCAGTAGCAGAGGAAGAGGCTTTTAACCGCTCTGAATACATAAAAACATGTTTTTGAGTAAAATTGCTACGAGCACTAACAGCACAGCTCAACATTTCAGTAATTACCACATTATCTGCTGCATTTTCCTTGTTAGGATCATTATGTTTGGAGCTGCAACAGACTAAAATAAATTCTAAAAACAAGGAAATGCTAGAGAAAAAAGTCTGTTTTCCAGCTCTGCTGACTCTGACTCTCTACTGTTACAACGAACCTGTTCAAATACAGACAATAAAGAAGCCCTCTGTTTGTGATTTTAGTCATTAACACATAAACACAATTTGTGGTCAAACGGTAATGTGATAATGAAAGAAAATGGAAAAACTGTTGAAAAGGTCAAGGAGTGTAACTGTGTGTCGGTCAAGATCCAGGAACCATTTCCTCACAAGGAAGACATGCTTTTATTATCAAACAGGCGTTCAGTTAGAGGACGTGTCTGCATACCTGAGCCACTCTGTCATGTGTTTGTGCTCCCGCCGATGCTTAACGCTGCACTTCAAAACAAAAGCAAAACAACCGTTGTGTCATTTCCCCCTTTTAATCAGAAAACCACAAAGTTATGTCTAAATGCTTTTAAATGTAAATCTTTCAAAAATCATTACCTGTATGAAGTTAAATCTAAATACTTACAATCAAGAATAGGAGTTTTACTATAAATAGAAATGTGATGGTTTGAAAAAATATTTAGCAGATTTAGACTGTTGTAAAACTGAGGCTTTCTACCAAAATAAAAGCGGTAGTGAGATCCCTAACGTAACAGGTTAAAGGCCTGCTGATCGTGAGGTTCTCTGAGTCTATTGATCTAAAAAATCTTTGGTAAATGTTCCTTTTTAGGTTCAGTCATAAATTCTCTATGGTTAAGCAGATTTATGGAAACTTTAAATGACAGTAGATGGAGATATCCTCTCTGCTTTTATTTTGGAAGGATGCTTCCATTGAGAGGCAGTTTGATTTTGCATCTTAACTATTTAGTTGAAAAAAAATTACATTTATGTTTGGATTTCAACATTTAGATACAACTGTAAGTATTTAGATTGAATTCTGAAAATTTAAATGTAACTTCTTACAGTCTGTGTCTAAATGCTTTGATGTAACTTTAAATATTTAGATTTGATTCTAAAGATAAAGACATATATTTCTTTAACTCTAAATATTGAAATATAACTATATGTGTAGCTCTGTGTGAAAATATTTGAAATTGTTATATTCAATTCTAAATATTCTGATGTAACTTTATATGTTATGGTCTGTGCTCAAACTCTTGGATGTAACTTTACATATTTAGATTTAATTCGTAGGATGCAGATAAATAAAAAATATTTAGTTTTGAGTCTAAAAAGTGAGACAAAACTTTTTGCTGCAGTTTGTGTGAAACAATTAGATGTAACTTTAAAAAATTTAGAATTGATTCTGAAGAGATACTATTTTATTTATTTAGTTTTGTCTCAAATATTTGACATGTAAGTTCATGTTTAGATTATATTGAGAAGCAACTAAATGTAACTTCTTACAGTCTGTGTCTAAATGCTTTGATGTAACTTTAAATATTTAGATTTGATTCTAAAGATAAAGACTTATATATTTATTTAACTCTAAATATTGAAATATAACTATATGTGTAGCTCTGTGTGAAAATATTTGACATTGTTATATTTAATCTAAATATTCTGATGTAACTTTATATGTTATGGTCTGTGCTCAAACTCTTGGATGTAACTTTACATATTTAGATTTAATTCGTAGGACGCAGATAAATAAAGTATATTTAGTTTTGAGTCTAAAAAGTGAGACGAAACTTTTTGCTGCAGTTTGTGCGAAACAATTAGATGTAACTTTTAAAAATTTCGATTTGTTTCTAAAGAGATACAATTTTATATATTTTGTTTTGACTCAAATATTTGACATGTAAGTTCATGTTTAGATTATATTGAGGAGCAACTTTATATAGTCTATTTAGCTCAAAATCAAAATAAGAAGTTGTGCCTTTAAATATTTATTTATATTTGTGACTATATTTAGTTGTAACACTAAATATTGTGTAAATTGTTAATATGATTAATACAGATGAATGTATTTAGATCTGTTTATGAATATGGTAAATGGCCTGTATTTGTACAGCACCTTCTTAGGGTTCTCCAACCCCCAAGGCGCTTCACAACACAGTCAGTCATTCACAAATGTTCACGCTGGTGGGGATGAGCTATAATGTAGCCACAGCTGCCCTGGGGCGCACAGACTGAGGTGAGGCCTGCTGAACACCGGCGCCACCGGCCCCTCCGACCACCACTGTCTTTAAAGCCTGTTTATATTTAATTTCTAACATAAAGATGTGACCTTTAATATTTAGATTTGGGTTGGGGCCATTTTAGATCATTTTAGTTGTGTTTTTGACAGTTTGACATCTTCTCCTGCCTGAATGGGCGGAGGAGGCGTAGAGCCATCCTCCTCCAACTCCCACATCCCTGAGGAGCTGGAGGCGTGCCAGGAAAGGATTGGCTTCCTGCTCCTGCCAAGGAGGAACTACTACGCCAGGATACCCAAATATGGAGCGGCCCACATCAGCTCGGATGGCATGAGTCAGCACTAGACTATACATCCTTGGGTGGGTGAAAGTTTCGTCCCACTGTTAGGAGGCTACGCTGAGGTGCTCTGGTGTTCTGTATGAGAACCTCCTGAAGCTGAGGAACGTCTTAAACCACTAAAACCAGCAGGAACTCTGGCGTCCTTTTTTTTTTTTTTATTTACCTGGACCGAGTTTCCCCGGAGTAGGCCTGGTCTTGTTTACGGTCGGTCTTACTGGCAACCACGTCATTATCTGACAGCCCTGAGGGCGGAGCTCCGCAGAGGGAAGCAGCCAATCAGCGGCCTGCTCTTGACAGACGTTTATAAGGAGAGAGGCGCGCCGCCGCTGCCATTAATGAGGAAACTAACTCAGAAGGAGCGACCGGGATTGAAAACATCCGAATTTATCTCTGGACTCCGCTTTGAATCCACCTAAAGGTACAAACCGACCACTGGGTACAGTACAGTTCCACTATTTTGGAGGTTTTCTGTTTTTTTGGGGGTAGTTTGAGCTTCAGTGTGGTTATAAGCTACAGCGGGACGTTGCGCTGAAGACTGACGCATCTGGGGACGCTGACGTCTCGGTGTCTTTGCAGCGCTCTCTTGTATTTGACTGTCTGATTTGAATTATGTCCACAATAATGGAACAGCCTTTTTATGACGACTCGTTTCTCTCTGCTTATGGCCATCCAGGCGCAGCGCTGCCAGACTACAAGCTGCTTAAGCAGAACATGAACTTGAACTTCTCCGATTCTTATCGGAACTCGAACTTGAAGCCTCAGCAGTTCCTGCGCGCCGACACTGATTTCTATCCGGCCGCCGGGACCGCGGACGTGGGCTCGCTGAAGCTCGCCTCCCCCGAACTTGAGCGGCTGATCATCCAGAACAGTAACGGGGTCATCACCACCACCCCGACACCTGCGCAGTACCTGTACAGCCGTGGCATCACCGAGGAGCAGGAGTGCTTCGCTGAAGGCTTCGTGAAAGCGCTGGACGATCTACACAAGATGAACCAGATGGCGCCTCCAAACGTGTCCATCAGCGCCGGTGGCGTGGCCTGTCCGGCTCCGGGTTCGGTGTTCGGTTCGTCCCTGCAGCCGGAGCAGCTCCAGTACACGACCCTGAGCAGCTGTGCCACGAACCCCGGCCTGACCTCTGCAGCCAGCTACCCCTCCACCACCATCAGCTACCTGCCGCATCACCAGTACCACCATCCGCATCCCCAGGCTGCTGCGCACGGGTCCCCTCACTTCCAGCACTCGCTGCCCGGCGCCGGGATCCACTCGCAGCGCTTCGAGGGTCTGAAGGAGGAGCCCCAGACTGTCCCCGACATGCAGAGCAGCGACGAGTCCCCGCCGATGTCCCCCATCGACCTGGAGAACCAAGAGCGGATCAAAGCGGAGCGCAAGCGGCTGCGGAACCGGCTCGCAGCCTCCAAGTGTCGGAGGCGCAAGCTGGAGCGCATCGCGCGGCTGGAGGACAAGGTGAAAGTGTTGAAAACGGACAACGCTGGACTGTCAAACACGGCGTCCGTGCTGCGGGAGCAGGTGGCCCAGCTCAAACAGAAAGTCATGACGCACATGAGCAGCGGCTGCCAGCTGATGCTGGCGCCCAAAGTCAAGTCTTACTGAGCAGACAGGATGCACTTTACACACACTGGACTGCACTGGGCAACACGCGGACGTGTTTGAGACCGGATCCAGAATAAAAACTGCACAAAATCAAAACACTGGGGGCAATTTCAAGTGTCGTCTCGGCTTTGCCTGTTTACATTTTCCTTTTTCTGCCGTTTGTGATGCTTTTGTGTAACTTATTTGTGTTTGAACACGTTTCGTTTTTTTTACCTGTACAGTAAATATTTAAGTAAATGAATTTATGAAATTAAAACATGTGTTTTCTTAACATGAATCATCAAAATTCTTCATCGTCATCAGGGTGGTTCTCCTAAACCAAACCGCACCGACGTCTGCTCGCTTTAACGTTTAAAGTACAGACAAAACTTCCCAGCGTAGGATTTTTCCCTGCTGACGTAAACACGTCATCCCATAAATGGCCAACGCAGAGGGCCTACGTCACAGCGCGCGCCTATGTTTCCGGGAACTCCCTCCTACGCTGCCGGTCAAACTGCGCGCTCCCTTTCGCACCGCAGCCAGAAAGGTTTGTCAATGAGCGGTTTGTGCGAGAGAAGGGAGTTTCCCTCATTCTGCTTTCAGTTTCCCAAAAACAACTCCACAAAGTTCCACGACAACGCGTTAAGATGGCCGCTTTCAATGACGACTAAACTGGTGGAAAGAAATACCAGTTAATTCAGTTAAGTTAAATAAAAACAGCCTTTTTGGGCTCAAGTCAGTTTGGGAATAAAGTCAGATTTACTGTACATCACTGACATTCCTGAGACAGGAAAAACTAGATCTAAATCATCAGGAATAAAATTCTACCTAATGTCTTCCAGTTGGACTCCTCAGCTGAGTCATGATAGCTCAATTCTGTCAGATAAATGAAGTCAAATCGGTTCTGAACTAGTCCAGTTCCAGTAATTTATCTTAGAATAAACAGATCAACAAGCAGGGTTGTTTTCTGTGGTGTTGTGCTGCCACCTAGCGGTCATGAACGGAAATGCACAATAAACAAAAACGAGTTCACCTCTCTTTTCCCACTTTTATTAAAGACGGTAACAAACCATTAGTGACAGGGAGGGAAGGCACAACAACTCTCAGAAGAAGATATTGAACAAAACTACTTTCAGTGCTTGAGACTACAAAGTTGCCCCCCCAAACTGCAGGCTGAGCATAATAAGAGAAAGTGAGGAGATTGTGTTGGAACATTTTGGACGTCATGACGTACGGCTTCATAGGGACACCTCTCATCTGAGGTCAAGTGCTGAGCTCGGGGACGGAGCTTTAAGGAGGACCTTCAGATTTACTGCTTGGAGAAGAACTCTTTGCTCTTCGCTACGTCTGGGATGATGGTGTCACTCCCGGGTTTCCAGCCAGCGGGGCAGACTGTGGAGAGGGGGAAAAGGCAAAGTTCATCTCCACCGTCAGTAGTAGTTGATAAGCTTTATATTGCCTAAAGACAAAGTCCTCATGTGAGCGGCCAGGAACCAGCAACATATGAAGCAAAAGAACTCGTAAACATTTAAAAGCACACAGGGGTTTATCACCATTCTGTGCTAGTTCTAACAAAAGCCGGTTGCATCAAACAGCTGGGGCGTTTCAATGTGGCTTTATGCAGTTTCTCTTAGGGATGGGTACCTTTGACATTTGAATTGATTCGGTACCAATTCCCGGTACCTAGGAATCGATACCGGCACTTAACGGTACCAATTTTAGATACTTTTGAGTGTTTAATATTTTAATTCTTTTTTATAATTAAATATATTTTTTTCTCAATATATAACCATATTTGATAATAATAATAATGCATTGAACTTATATAGCGCTTTTCAAGACACCCAAAGATGCTTTCACACACTCTCACATTCACACACTGCTAGTGATGGTAAGCTACTTGTAGCCACAGCCGCCCTGGGGAGGTCTGACAGAGGCGAGGCTGCCATTTGGCGCCGTCGGCCCCTCTGACCACCACTAACACAGGCAAGTTGGGTGAAGTGTCTTGCCCAAGGACACAACAGCAGGATACCCCTGGCGGGAGCTGGAATCGAACCCATGACCCTCCGATCATGAGGCAACCCGCTCTACCACCTGAGCTACTGCTGCCCTGTGATAAATATCACGATAAATAACATACAACTGTTTGTGTTTTAACATCGTCCCTGTAGTTTTATAAGCTGATAATTAAACTGAAGCAAACATCTTTACTGTGAACTAAATTTACTGTGTATCTTCATTCCTTTTGCCGTCCTTTTTCATTTGATTTTTCCTACTGGGAAGTTAGAATTTCCGAGGAGAAAGCGAACGCACCATTAGCTGATAACAATGGTGGCAATGGAAGCTAATTTATCAAGCTAACGTTATCTTAAACAGTTGATTTAGCTGCTGGAGCAGATTAAAACGATGATGCCTCACACTTAGATCGTTGTCGCTGGTTTCATCATCACCCAGTTACCCATCACATTTAGTGAAGTGGACCCAAGCTTTAGCGTGCGTCCTTTCTACCATGCTGCTCTGTTTACAACTCGCTCGCAGCGACCGACGACATAACGCTCTTGCGCATGCGCAGCTGTCTTGGCAAGTTCTCGTTATGAAGGACGGGTACCGAAACGAGGCACCGTTTCAAATGACGTGAATCGGTGCTCAGTCGGTACTATGGAATTCGGTCGGTACCTTAGAAAGTACAGAATTTGGTACCCATCGCTAGTTTCTCTCCTGAATCATTCATTTTTGCTCAGCCTAAACAACCTGAACAGAAACATGTCTGAAATCCAGGAATTTTATGTTTGCATACAACATGGAATTGCGTGGACTCACCCTCTCCGTGCTTGTCGGTGTGCTGGAAGGCTTGAACCAGACGCAGGGTCTCGTCCACAGAGCGACCCACGGGCAAGTCGTTGATGGTGATCTGCCTCAGGGTGCCGTTGACGTCGATCACAAACAGACCCCTGAGGGAACAGAACTGGGTTAAAGGAACAGGAAACTTCTTGCACAGGCATGAATCCAGCTACCCCTCCATCAAAGTCTCACTGACCTGTACGCCACGCCGTCTTCCTCCTTCAACACACCGTAGTCTCTGGAGATGGACTTTGTGAGGTCTGCTACCAGCGGGATCTTCATGTTACCCAGACCACCCTGCTTCCTCGGTGTGTTGATCCTAAACCAAAAGTTAATTTAATAATAAAACCTTAAAGAGCAAGTCACCCCCAAATCAGCTTTGTTTCTGATAAAATATATAAATGTGCGTCTAATCGTGCTGCAGAAACGTGTCAATAGTTTTGCACTTTAGTGCATTTTGGTTAAAATTTTAATTTTCTGCCTAAAACTGTCAGTGTTGTGCCGTTGTCAGGTAAAAACTCTGCACTGCATTTGAATTTAAATCTGCCATCGCTATTGGCTAAGAGGTACCCTAGAATGTTAGCTGGTACCATATGATGTCACAATGTCATTGTGAGCTTGTGTGTGTGTGTGTGTATTTGTTAGCGGCTCCGCCCTCTCGGTCTGCTAGGCAACAGCACTTGTTGCATTTTTCAAACAGGAAGTGGGAGTGGAGTTAAGACTCTGGTAGGGGGTGACTTGCTCAATGATTAAATTATTGCTCTTTTATGGGTCCAACATACTTTTATTAGAATAAGTGCTTTCAATCTGCATTTATGTGTCAGAAAACACAACAGGATACTGTCAGTGGGACAAGAGGTTGTCCTGTTGGGAGTAAAAAATTAAGTAACACTAAAGAGTTTTTAAAACTTTCAGCCATTCCTTTTAAACTGGTTTCAGTGGTTCTTCATCACTCATCAACTTCACACTGGACAGCACTCTGCTGCCCTCTGCTGCCCAGAAACTGCATTAAACAGCTTTGGTGGTTAATGGAAGGTCTACCTGCTTTACATTGTTTACTCTGCTGTTAGCCAACATAAAGGCTAGCAGTGTTTTGTTTTAGTTCCCCCATAAATAAAAATTACAAGAAGATTTTTTCTTCTTCTGTTGGTATAGCAGAGTCACGTCTTGAAAGCGAAGCAATGAGCTAAAACCAGAGTGAACATCGACACGGCCTATGCTAGTCCGAGGGAGCTAAAAGCTACAAAAGCGTGGACTGATAGTGACCTGGCTTAGTCGCTACTGGACTTCAAAGTAATATTGTTTGTCCAGCAGTGTGGAATTTTTCACTTCGTGGTATATTTCGTATCAGTTAGCGTGTGTTAGCATTAGCTTGCTGTTAGCACTAGCTATAGCAGGCTGCGGCAGGGTTGTTTATGACAAATGTAATTCTGCTTTTAACCAGTAGGAAGTGGAAATAGGAAACTTAAACCTGCAATAGCAAATCAGCAAACAAAGCCAACATTCAAAGAACTCTCACCCCTCCCCTAGAGCATCTTCCCTGGAACACATCCGCCGGAACCGGAAACCCACATTTCTAGCGAAGAACCTCCCACACCAGTGGTGTTCCGTTGCTAAATAAGTGAGTGTGTGATGAGTGGAGGACTCAGGCAAAGTGTGGCGGTTCTGCGAGACCGACAACCGGATGGTCCAACGTTTGCTTTTGGTCCGAAACGCGTTGTTGGTGGAGGTTTTTAGACAAATGTGAGAGAACCTCTTTATTACATTGATCTACACAACATATTTATAGCTATACTATGTCAGCACGTTGTTAAGAGGCGTGAGAAAAAAGTGCATTTACAGCTTTAATCCTGGTCCTCAGGGCCCACTCTCATGCATGTTTTAGGCATTTCTACACTCAACACAGATAAGTCAGAGGGTTAACAGGTCAACTAAAAATGCCAAACTAGTTATTTAATCCACCAATCAGGTGTGTTGAGCAGGAAGAAATGAGCATGCAGGACAGTGGTTGTCAAAGGCCAAGATCCAATGTTTCAGATGCTTCTCTGCATGAAGACACCTGATTCAAAAGATCGAATTACGTCCTCCTTAGTGAGTCATGGACTTCTACAGAAACCCACTAATTAGCAGTTCCACCTAAAGGAGCGCAGAAGCAGCAAAACCTTTACAACATGCATGATAGCAGGTTCTGGGAAGAAAGGGAAAAGATTGAAGACCTCAACAGATTGCACAACCGTTAACACTTCTGTGTGAGGGTGCAGCCTGAGGCACCGTTAACAAAACGCTTATCAGCAGCTTACAGAAAGGCTGCATGATGGCAGATAAACTGGGGTGGGATCTTTCAAAGCTGCCAGAAACATCTGCATTTGTAGTGCAGATACAAACTTTCAACGGTGGACATTTTAACGCAGCGTTTATATTTTCACGCAACTCCGTTCAAGGTTGTTGTATATACATGCATAAAAACCCTAACAAATTCAGAACGGATTTTCTTTTTAATAAAAGTACTCCGGATCAGCCAGGAGGTCAAGTCCCCTCCCCGGACACCCTTGTTTGATGTTCTGCCTGCATGAGTTCTTACCATGCCAAGTGGGTGAAGTGGGAGTCAATGGAGCAGCCGATGACCTCACAGCCAAGGCTGCGGAACTCCTCTGCTCTGTCGCTGAAAGCAATGATCTCGGTCGGGCACACGAAGGTGAAGTCCAGGGGGTAGAAAAAGAAAACCACATACTTCCCTAACAGCACCCAGAGACAAAAATGTCTTGGTTTGTGGGTAGACCAAACAAAACGTAGACCAGACAGAGCACATTAAACCACATTACCTTTGTAGTCTGACAGCTTGATCTCCTTGAACTGTCCATCCACCACAGCTGTAGCTTTGAAATCAGGGGCGGGCTTGCCAATCTGAGCTTTTCCGGAAGACATGGCGCTTGCTGTAGGCAACTAGTGGAAACAGATACTTCTGTTAAACACAAACAGATAAGTCTACTATAGGCATCTGCAACTAGTACGTTGGCATCTTAAGCTGTTAAACAGAGGGATGGCATTAGGCACCAAGACACACTCAAACCTGAAGGGCAGGCCTGTGTGGAGCCAAATGATCAAAGGATTCTTCGTTTAGGGAAAAGACCTTAAGGTCACATGCAAGTCATGTTCAGCCAGCAGGAACAATGGGCAGCTTACATAACCAAGCTCAGCACAAAGCCCCATTAGGGTAACTAATGCAAGCTTTTAGTTCAAAGATGGGTTTTAGGCATGCACCTCAGTGCCAAGACGCAGACGTTTCATTTAAAAAAATACACAATTTATTTGATCTGGGGGACCAAAGGCAAACAATCCTGCAACGCCGTGATTGGCCATGTTAAAATGCGTTTTCAAATATAACCAGGTCAAAGTTCAGCAGCGAAGGAAACAGCTTAACGTTAAGTAGTCAAAAAATCTCTGAAAACGAAAAGAAAAAGCTGTGACACGTTATATTCCCTAAAAACTGCCGAACAGGAACAAAGAAAAATCCAGAAACACTTGAAAAAAAAAAAGAGGAACAGCTAACCCGAACATTCTTGCTAACTTGTTGTTAGCTCAGTCACAATAAACTGATTTCTTAGCGTTATTTTTTATTCCCAAAACAGTAACTTCGATTAAAACGGGAACGCGCGTTGCGAAACGGGACTAAACGTAAAGACTTAACGTGTTTTACCGCCTTTTACCCACCGGTGTCGCGTAAACCAGTAGAAAACTTGGCAGCAGAGGTCTATGGCTTGCAGGAGAAAGGGAGTCGGGACGAGGAGGAGGGTTCAGACGCAAGAAGTACCCACCGGCAACTGCGATCCCCGGAAGTGAAAGTCAAACACTTCAAAGTAAAAGGTTGGTCTAGAACGTTGGACCAAAACGTTTCTGCTTTATTATTAATGCAAGGTGTCTCACACCGCGAGTCCGGGTATCAGTTCTTCCCACTCAGCAGCTGCCAACCGCTTTAATTAACCATTATCTCTGGATTTCCAAGAAACGTAATATATCATGTTAGCATGTTATGTAAACTTACCTGAACAATGTAGCTTTTTCTACAGGTTGCACAATCAAAATGTTTTAGAGTCTACAAAATAACTGTGTCAGCAGCCAGACATCAACGTCTATATGTCAGAAGCATCAAAGGGTTGCTTGATAAACATGACCTGCAGCATCGGGTGCTGACTCACATCAAGATGCAACAAAGCACTCTGAGTGTCATGTTTTTGACTTCTCAAGTGCTTTCAACACCATCCAGTCGTCTTTACTGCAGCAGAAAATGAGGAGTGTAGGAGTGGACAGACACCTGACCACATGGACCACCTCACCAACTTGGCCCAGTATGTGAGGCTGCATAACTGTATGTCTAAGGTGGTTGTGTGCAGGAGTACTGGAGCTCAGCAGAGTACAGTACTCTCGCCCCTTCTACCTTTTACGCCTCAGACTTCTACAACACCAGCTGCTGTCAGCTGCAGAAGTTCTCAGATGACAGCTGTGTGTCTGAGGGGAATCATCTGGAGTAGAGGTCAGTCGTTGTGAACTTTGTGGACTGGTGTGAGCATCATCACCTTCGCTTTACAATGGAAAGACAAAGGAAATGGTGACTGACTTTCAGAGAATCATTCCCCCTCACTCACCAGTAAACATCCAGGGTGCAGACATCGAGGTGGTGGATACCTTAAAGTACCTGGGTGTTCACATCAACAGTAACCTGAACTGGTCCTGCAATGAATATGCTCTGCAGTAGAAGAGCCTCCAACTTCTGAGGAGTCTGAGGTCTTTGGAGATCATTCCCATATACTAAACTCTTCTTACCATTCTGTTGTTGGCTCCATTATTCATTCTGCTGTGTTTAAAGAGCAAGTCACCCCCAAATCAACTATTTCCTGATAAACTATATAAATGTGTGTCTAATCGTGCTGCAGACACGTGTCATCAATAGTTTTGCACTTTAGTGCATTTTAGTTAAAATTAAAAATTTCTGCCTAAAACTGTCAGTGTTGTGCCGTTGTCAGGTAAAGGCTCTGTGTGGCAAGGTGGATAAACGAGGGCCCGGGCAGGATTCGATCCCCAGACTCCCGGGTGAGAGTCATACGTTTTATCCAGTCAGCCAAAGGGACATCCCCTTGGCCAAGTAGCCAGGGCGCATGATCAATCGGGACATTGTGACAGGACGCTCACACTGTCACATCTAGAGGGGGGAAGATGTGACAGTGTGAGCGTCTCTATATGCTATGTGAGTGAATTTCCCCACTGTGGATCAATTAATTCTATTCTATTCTATTCTATTCTATTCCATGAGGCCCGTGGCGGGTCATCCATAAGGGGTCGCCTCCCTCCTGGACCTGAAGACGATATAAAAAGTAAAAGAAAATCTACAAAACATGAACACATGAATGTGTCAGCAGCCATATACCTTCAAGTTTGCGACAGGGTTGTTTACAACAGAAAACTCAAACTGGAAAATAATGTGTATAATGACAAAAATGGATGTTATGGATTGCAGTTGTGCTTCAATGTTTGGTTAAAGGCGCACAGTAGGATTGTGTGTTTTTTGGAGTATTATTAGTAGTCTTAATGATTGACTGTGGAGAAGGAAAATAAATCCTAGTTTTGGAATTGTAGTCATTTTCCAACTGCCCGTTTGAATACCTATAATGGGCTTAGCCTTGCCAAATTTTTTTCTCACCAGCCGCTACTACCATGGGGCTCATTCGCTCAATCTAGGATCCAGTGCAAGACGTTCGCCCATTTTATTTTGACAGACATCTCCCGTAATGGAACGCTACTTCCGTTTAGCCTCAGCATGTATGGAGCAGAGGCAGGCTTTAATAGTTTTTTTTATGGTAATTTTATCGTTTATGTATAGAAGTGTTTAATTAACGGTTACTGTAAAAGATGTATACAATGATAGTTTGTTTGTGTTTCACTGAAATGAGAGGGACTTTGTGTAGCACGCGGTTAACGGTGGCATTTATAGTAAAACAAAGGTGCAGAGGTAGCTAAAGTTAGCTTTAACTTCTAAATACACCCGAGCTGTAGCTAAGCCATTCAGTGTACGTAGTTTGAATCCGATCAGCAACTTTAGAAAGGACAAGTATTTGTACTGTTAGTGATGTTACAAGACGATTTATACTTGAATCCTACAGCTGTAAAGAAACGTTTAATCGCCTCTTATCGCGATGTTTCATTTCTCTCGCGTTATTTGAGTCAAGTGTTTGTCCAAGCTGCTGTTTGGTTTTCATCTCTTATGCTGTCAAACAAACGGCATGAAATCCGATATAAGGTGTAATATTTTAAATGCTTTTTCCTTTTTACAGGGTTTTAAGACAAAGACGGGTTTGTTTTCATCTGATTCACCAGGACGTTAGGAGTGCACATGGATGGTAAGACTCCTAGCAGGAGCCCACAATTATCACTTTCATCTCTGCTAATTCTGTTATCTCATTTTATCTCATTTTGTTGGTAGTCATCACTATTCTTTCTTTCTTAATGAGTCTCATTTTCCTTTCCTTCATATTTTTTTTGGTTGCAAAATTAATTTCTGTACAAATTTCTAAATTAGAAATGTAATAAATATTATTAATCAGACAGAAAAACCACGTGACAATTTGCCCCCTGTTGCTTAAGTCACTCAATATTTATTTAATATTAAGTGAATACATTTTTTTAAAAGAAATTTTTTAACAATTTTTATTTTCTTAACTTGTTCCGGTGAGAGAAATGTAATCTGGGCCACCTCTCATCTTTTTCTGTTTTTTAGATGTAAAAAAGTTAAATATTTCCTAATGTTTACCACACTTGATTTTAATGTCATAAAATTTGGCTCAGTTGCATATTTACATTGTGTGAATGATTGAAATGACTACTCAATATAAAATGTAAATTTCATCTTTAAGTGGATCATCTTTATATTTTTTACTGTTTCAGAGACATGTTTATTAAATTATGCTCAAAGTCTGAATCCCTTTGCCACATATAGGTGAAACTAAAAATCAGAATCTGATGCAAAAGTTAATTTATGTCAGTAATTCAATTTAAAAGATGAAACTAATTTATGAGACGGACTCATTCCAGGCAAAGCCAGATATTTCAGCCTTTCTTTGTTATAATTATGATGAATATGGCTTACAGCTTATGAAAAACGTACATTTTGTGAAAAGGTTCAATATTCTAGGATCAAAGTGTCACACTCTAATCAGTTAAGGAGTCCAAATCACCTGCAGATGGTTCCTGAGCCCATTTTCAGGAACTACAAATGAGCCAGATCAGAGTTGAGCTTCAGACGACAGGATCTGGAGTCTTATTTCCTGTTATTTGGACATCTCTCCTCTTATTGGCTAACAGCAACACAACTGTACCACTGACTCTGTTTGCTCTGCAACGTTGACGTTTTATCTCCACAAATAACACAAGGCTGGAGGAGTTCTGCTGTGTGGTGGAGTTGCTAATGCTAACAGTTAGCTTCTACTAGCTGAGACGTTCTCTTGTTTCCTGGACGCTAAACCAACAACAGCCTTCCCTGTCGTGAGCCAAGATGGGTGAATCCATGAATGTTAGTGACAGTGTGACGTAGATCTGTCAGGATTTTCTATCCTAGAGTTTCACCGTCTGTTTTCTATCAGAAGCTAACGCAGGAGATAGGTGTAGGAGATTATTTTCATGTTCAGCCTGCATGAAAAAGTCAATTACAATCAGAAATAATCATTAACTCATTCACTGCCAGCATTTCTCAGCGTTTTTACTGTTTTTTTTTAAGAGTGACAGAACGTTGCGCTCTAGGATGATGTCGATGCCAAAACAACCAAAACAAAGAGGAGACTCGCGTCTTACATCAGGAAGAATCCGCGCATTTCGAGCGTTATCCGTTCTTTCATCATCCGTTGTTGAAATGCGATCGGCAGAAGCTTTTCCGGTTCGCCCCTCACTTTTTTTTATAGCAGCGGCCCAAAACGATCTCCTAACACGTGGATATTCTGCTTCCTGATCACGTGATGTGTGACGTATGCGGATGAAGATCGGCTTTAGAGCTGGGATGTTTGTTCTCACTGTGCGGGGGCTCGTCCGACGCCCACACAGTAAAACATGTCGTCATTGGCAGTGAATGAGTTAAAAAATGGGTTCCACACTAAGTTTTCTCCTTCGGTTACTAAAGTCTAGTTTCATTGTGACCTTTCGCCACGACCCCAGGGCCGGTCATTTGTGAGGTGTGCGGAGCCTACTTTGAGACCCGGCGGGGCCTCTCCAGCCATGCTCGCCTCCATCTCCGCCAGCTGGGTATGACTGTGCCAGAAAACAGCGGCTCTCCCATAGAGCTGCTCTACCAGCTCATCCAGGTGAACGACAGCTCCATCACAGAGTCTAAATCAGACACTTCTACACCTGCCTCTACATCTGCCCAAAAAACACTCCAGCTGGAGGCTAAACCGCAGGAAGTCCAAGAGGACGCAAATGCCTCTGGCAAGACGCCAGTGGGAGTTAAGACAACGCTACACAAGGCTGAACATCCAGGATCTCCATCCAGAGCGAAGGAACAGGGAGCGTCTCTTCCACCCCCGTCTCCCTCTGCTCTTAGGCCGACTGAAGGCAGCAGCTCGTCGGTCTCAGAGCACCAAACTGTTGCCAAGCCGCTGTGGGCACCTTTGGATACCGATGCTCCCATCCGTTTAGGTATGTTGAACCAGAATTAGAGTTTCTGAGAGATGGAGAGTAACGGCTGCTGTAAAATTTCTGTGATTTTTTAAATCTTTTATTATTCTGACAGCTTCAGACAACAAGGATGAGGTTCACGTGTGCCAGCTGTGTGGTTGCTGGTACGAGACACGCAAGGGTCTGTCTAGTCACGCTCGGACCCACCTCCGGCAGATCGGAATCGCTGACAGCGAGATCAAGGGAGGATCAATCGAATATCTCTACCAGATCATGGAGGAGCAGGACCTGAAGCCCCTCAGCGCCCAGCAGCAGGAGGAGCGCACGCCAAGCACTCCTCCTCGCTCTTCCCCCAAACGTCCGCCGGATCTGCCCTCCCCTCTTCGGTCTCCCCCCAACAAACGACCCAAAGGTCCTGTGAACTGTACCTGTGTTCTGTGCGGGGAGAAGTTTGAAAACAGAAAAGGTCTGGGCAGCCACGCTCGCTCCCACCTGCGCCACATCGGAGTGAGCGACCTAGTGGGGAAAAGATCAGCGATTGACGCTGTGGAGCAGCTGGTCAGCAGCGGCATGTTGGAGCCCTTACATCTGCCCAAACAAAAAAGTACAACCAGCCCATCCGCAGCTCCGTCTTCAGCGCCAGCCTCTCCCACAGTCCCTGCCTCGTCTCAAGGTGCAAACCAATCCAGGTCCCCGTTTTCCCTCTCGTGTCTCTCCTCGAGCCCTTCCACGAGTTCTCATTCGCCCCAGCGACTGTTCAGCAAGGCGCCAAAGGCTAAGAAAGGGTTTCGGCTGGCGGTGGACCCCCTTCTTAAAAAACCCAAGCCTGAGCCTCTTGAGACGGATATTTCAGTTCAACCAAAGCCATCCGGCACCAACTCCAACTCTGCTATGCAGAAATCTACCGCCATCACTTCCGCAAAGTCTTCTGACTTGGGTAGAGTCGGTTTGCCATTTTGTAATTATTTGTTTGCTGTTGCGCGTGTAATGACGAGCCCACTGATGTTCCACAGATGTCCAGTCTCCTCCATCCGTCCTTTGTGACTTCTGCGGCCAGCTGTTCGACACCCGCAAGGCTCTGTCCTGCCACGCTCGCGCCCACCTGCGGCAGCTCGGCCTCACCTGGTCGATCCGAACGTCTCCACTGGACCTCCTCACAGAGGTCATGCTGCAGGGCGAAGAGAGGAAAGACGCTCCTCGCGACCTGGGAAAGCACGGCAAAGCGACCTGGAGTCCTCAAGGCACCAGGAGGTCCCGGGACAGCCTCCCATCCAGGGAAGGCGCCCCCAACTCCAGCGCAGTGCCAGTTGATTATTCAATGAAAGATAAATCTCCTGCAAAATCTGCAGTTGTTGGTAAGTAGACGAACAGTATTGGGTTTAGTGGAAGTCGTGGGAAAACATCTACGTTAAAAGCGGCTTACGCATCCGTCAGAAAGGCAGTGTGTGGTTTCCAGCCACTAGAGAGCAGTACAGGGTAGTTTTACACATCTTCCTGGCTGTCGCTAGTTTAAAAACATTATGGTACATTTTATCTGTGGGGCAGGAAGAAAGCAACCTTGGTGTGACTCGTCAGACGTTGATGGAAAACGTGTTAGTCGTGTGTTGTTTTTCACAGCGGACACTTCCTGTGAGCTTTGTGGATTTGACTTTGAAAACCGCAAAGCTCTGGCCAGTCACGCTCGTGCCCATCTCCGTCAGCTGGGCATCTATGAATGGAAGGTGGACGGGGCCACGTCACCCATCGAGCTCCTCAGCGATCTGATCCGAAAAGATCCAAACAGGGTGGCCCAGATAACCAAGCGCTATCGCTATGGAGATCTCTACATTAAGAAGGCGAGCTGTCTCCTGAGGTGTTCGATTCATTTTCAGAGAGTCTCGGGGAATTTCTAAACGTCCTACTTTTGCTTTTAGTCCCAGAGATCTGCTGGTTTACACGCCGGATCAGCAGATCCCCGTGCCGTGGCCCCCGGCAGCAGCCAGAAGCCGCCTCTGCAGCATCATGAGCACAAGTCGAGCAGGATGGACCACAGCGCGCGAACGTCACGGGGTGAGGGAAACGAAACACAGCTGTGTGCCAAAACACACACACACACACACACACACACACACTCACACACACACACGATTATAAGACTCCTCTTTCTAAGACTAATCTTCAGGAAAAAACAAATAAAAAATAATAAAAAAAAACTATTTTTATTGATATTTTGAAAACAAATACTGAGCAAAAATACAATTTTAATGCAAACTATCAGGTCTTTGCTGAATGTGAAATCAAAAGTAAATTGGGGCTTTTATTCGGACGCCCTCTGCCTCACTGTACTCTCTCACGCTGCTGCGGTCCCGGCGCACCATCAGATCACTACACCTGTCGACTCCTCCCAGAATGTCATCCTCACTGCCATTCAAGGGATCCATGCAGTAATGTCTGACCACCGTTTATCTTAAAACGTGCATAACTCTGCCTTATAGCTTGTTAACTTTCCCACTTTCGGTCCACTCCGCTCCAGACCGCTGGTCTCCATTTTTTTCTCCGGTTGAGAACGCACAGCCTGGCGCCCCCTGCTGTTACGAGCGTGTAATGGTTAGACCCCGATTATCAGACGACCCCACAATTTAAAATTGTTTTCAATAAAAAAAAGAACCATCATCTTATATTCAGGTCAATACGGTGTGTGTGTGTATATATGTGTGTTTACTTGATTCTTCTTGGTCTCAGGGGTTCATGCACCGAAACATGGAGTATCGTCAGGGGAAGAGAGTCGGGGTGACAAATCCCATCAGCCATCAAGGTCTGGCAGCATCCCAGCACTGCTGCCCAAACCTCCCCTAACGCCACTGGTCAAACTGGTGGGTAAGATCTACTCCCTCAAGTGCAGGTGAGTGAATGTCATCTTGTTTTATACATACATACATATATATACATATATATATATATATATATATATATATATATATATATATATACATATATATATATATATATATACATATATATACATATATATATATATATATATATATATATATATGTATATATATGTATATATATGTATATATATGTATATATATGTATATATATGTATATATATGTATATATATGTATATATATATATATATATATATATGTATATATATATATATGTATATATATGTATATATATATATATGTATATATATGTATGTATATATATGTATATATATATATATATATGTATATGTATATATATATATATATATATATATGTATATATATATATATATATGTATATGTATGTATATATATATATATATATATATATATATGTATGTATATGTATATATATATATATGTATGTATATGTATATGTATATATATATGTATATATGTATATATATATATATATATATATACATATATATACATACATACATACACATATATATACAGGTGCTGGCCAGTAAATTAGAATATCATCAAAAGGTTGAAAATATTTCAGTAATTCCATTCAAAACGTGAAACTTGTACATTATATTCATGCAATGCACACAGACCAATGTATTTCCGATGTTTATTACGTTTAATTTTGATATTTATAGGTGACAACCAATGAAAACATCAAATCTGGTATCTCAGAAAATTAGAATATTCTAAAGGCCAATGAAAAAATGTTTGTTTCTCTAATGTTGGCCAACTGAAAAGAATGAACATGAAAAGAATGTGCATGTATAGCACTCAATACTTAGTCGGGGCTCCTTTTGCCTCAATAACTGCAGTAATGCGGCGTGGCATGGACTCGATCAGTCTGTGGCACTGCTCAGGTGTTATGAGAGCCCAGGTTGCTCTGATAGTCGTCTTCAGCTCCTCTGCATTGTTGGGTCTAGCGTATTGCATCCTCCGCTTCACAATACCCCATAGATTTTCTATGGGGTTAAGGTCAGGCGAGTTTGCTGGCCAATCAAGGACAGGGATACCATGGTCCTTGAACCAGGTGCTGGTGGTTTTGGCACTGTGTGCAGGTGCCAAGTCCTGTTGAAAGGTGAAGTCTGCATCCCCATAAAGTTGGTCAGCAGCAGGAAGCATGAAGTGCTCTAAAACTTCCTGGTAGACGGCTGCATTGACCCTGGACCTCAGGAAACAGAGTGGGCCAACACCGGCAGATGACATGGCACCCCACACCATCACTGACGGTGGAAACTTTACACTGGACCTCATGCAACGTGGATTCTGTGCTTCTCCGCTCTTCCTCCAGACTCTGGGTCCTTGATTTCCAAAGGAAATGCAGAACTTGCTTTCATCAGAAAACATAACTTTGGACCACTCAGCATCAGTCCAGTCCTTTTTGTCCTTGGCCCAGGCGAGACGCTTCTTGCGCTGTTTCTTGTTCAAGAGTGGCTTGACACACGGAATGCGACACCTGAATCCCATGTCTTTCATGAGTCTCCTCGTGGTGGTTCTTGAAGCGCTGACTCCAGCTGCAGTCCACTCTTTGTGGATCTCCCCCACATTTTTGAATGGGTTTGTCGTCACAATTCTCTGCAGGGTGCGGTTATCCCTAGAGCTTGTACACTTTTTTCTACCACATTTTTTCCGTCCCTTCGCCTGTCTGTTAATGTGCTTGGACACAGAGCTCTGCGAACAGCCAGCTTCTTTAGCAATCACCTTTTGTGTCTTGCCCTCCTTGTGCAAGGTGTCAATGATTGTCTTTTGGACAGCTGTTAAGTCAGAAGTCTTCCCCATGATTGTGGTGCCTTCAAAACAAGACTGAGAGACCTTTTAAAGGCCTTTGCAGGTGTTTTGAGTAAATCAGCTGATTAGAGTGGCAGCAGGTGTCTTCTATATTCAGCCTTTTCAGAATATTCTAATTTTTTGAGATACCAAATTTGGAGTTTTCATTAGTTGTCACTTATGAATATCAAATTTAAATGTAATGAACATTGGAAATACATTGGTCTGTGTGCATTGCATGAATATAATGTACAAGTTTCACGTTTTGAATGGAATTACTGAAATATTTTCAACCTTTTGATGATATTCTAATTTACTGGCCAGCACCTGTATATATATATATATATATATATATATATATATATATATATATATATATATATATATACACATACATACATATATATATATATATATGTATATATACATACATACATGCATATATATATATATATACACATATATATATATATACACATATATATATATATACACATATATATATATACACATATATATATATATATATATATATATATATATATATATATATATATATACACATACATATATACATATATATATACACATACATATATACATATATATATACACACATATATATATATATGTGTATATATATATATGTATATGTATGTTTATATATATATATATATATGTATGTATGTATGTGTATATATATATATATATATATATATATATATATATATATATATATATATGTGTGTATATATATAAATATATACATATATCTCTGGAGCACGTCAACTATCAGAGCTTTGCATGCTCAAGCTGGTTAAGGTTAGGATGGGGGTGAGGGGAAAGTTAAATAGCAAGAGGGTAAACGTCACAATTTGGTTAAATGTCCGTTTTACGGCGGGTGTCAGTACCGACGCTCTAGCACAGCGCGTTGCCCCCCCGACGCGCAGGGGCTCGTCACCTGCTGACAGCAGGCTGCTGTCTTTTCCGAGGGCTGCATCTTGCCTGTCATTATCACGTGACAGCGACTAGTCGATGACAGGCATAAAAAGTCACTATAGTGAAGTCGACTAGTTCATACAACCCCTGCTACTGCTCCCCAGAGTGTTCTGCTGCATAATCAGCACGTTCTCTTTGAACTTGATATCAAATTTTCACCTCCTCTTCGTCTCCGCACGGTTAAAGTTACCCTCGCGGTCTGTCACTGGCAAATCAAAAGTGAGACGATGACACAACCGCCCCCCGTACTTGCTTGTTACCACATTCCACCCGGCCACAATAAAACACCGGCCATTATTCACCTCCGCCGACTCCGACACCGGCCAAAATATGATTCCCGGCCGTTAATTGAATACAGGCCAATATTAGAGGATTTACGGTATACACATATTATATAAATATATATATATATATATATATATATATGTATATATATATATGTATATGTATATATACATATGTATATATGTATGTTTATGTATATATAAATACATATACATATATACGTATATATATATTCATATATATATATATATATATGTAGAATATGTATATATACATATATATATATATATATATATAAAATATGTGTGTGTATATATATATATATAAAATATGTGTGTGTATATATATATATATATATACAGTATATATACTGTTAAGCTTGTCCCTCGTCTTGTAGAGCCTTGTGTGTGTGTGTGTGTGTGTGTGAATAAATGGCATATTGAGAGAATAAAAATATTGAGTGAATTTCCATTTCCTCCTATCTTTGCAGGTTCTGTGAAGAAGTGTTTCACGGGCCTCTGTCCGTCCAGGAGCAGTGGATCTCTCACCTGCAGAAACACATCCTGTCTCTGGGATACAAAGGAAAAGAAGCTCCTCCCCCTGCACCTCCTGTTCCTCCCGATTCTCCTGTTCCTCCTGCTGCCCCCGATGCTCCTGCAGCTCCAGCACTCGTCCATCCCGTTGCTGTTTAGGTTCACCCTGAAGAAGAGACGTCTGTCTGGGATTTTCCAGTTTTATCCCTTGGAGGGCAACCCCGAGCCGCGGTCCCAGAACAGCTCGGTTGAATCCGCTCAGGAAAATCTGTTTTTTACCGACAAATATGTCCTCCTGCTCTTCTGTTTGTTCCATTCGAATGTGATTTAGGTTGTTTCTGTCGGTGTGAAATTTCAAAAACAAATGAATTTTTCACGCTCCTGACTAATCATTTCACTTACATAACCTTCAAGTGTAACTTTAACCTTCCTGATTGAGTCATTTTACATGTTGTTCCGTTTCTGCTCTGATAACTCACGTTTATTATTGTTGTTTTGCTTTTTAACCCAAATGTTTGCCAACAAAGAATGATGCCATGTAAAAATGTTCTTATACAGCTTTTTATTTGTTTTGGTCAATTTCTAAAAGACACACAAACAAATCGAACACGTTATTTTGGTATTTTGCGACTGAAAACTTTCACCAGCGGGTCCTCAGCAGTCTCGGCTGTTTTTGGGACTGTCGTCACGGTAACACTTATACCAACCCTTTCTGTGTCTGATTTCTTGTTAAAGTTGTTCAGAAGAAACTAAAAACATCGTCTGACATTCCTTTATCGTCTATAACTGAAAGAATTGTTTGGAGGAAACGTTTTGATCCGTTTGTCTCCATCACAGCTTTGTTGAGACCGCTGCTGCTGGTTGAAACTCTCATAAAATAACTACAACCAACATAAATATTCTTCATTCCCGTTCGACTCTGGTTCTGAGTTTTTTAGACACGGGTCTGACCGAACTCTAAAAGTTAATCCAGGTGTTTATCATGTTTTTTCTCTTTATGGACTGATGCTCCTAATAAATGTTGGGAGCAGAAGGAACAGAACTGAGACGTGATTTAAGGTTTCCATGAAGTGTAATGTCATTTTTTTCCCGTCTCTGGGTGATTTACTGCCCGTGGCGGTCGGACCGCCTCCAGCCTCTGATGGGTTATTCTGCTGCGTGCCGCTCCAATGGCCGCCCATCACGTGGAAGCTTTCCTGCCTGACAGGACCCGACCGAGCTCCTGGCTGATCTAAGACGGCCGCTGGAGCTAAAGGCTGTAATTTCAAATCGTTATTGAACCGAGATTTCAAATTAGAAGCCCGTCTGTCTTTCCGAGCTGTCGCTTTTCAACGAGTTGGCAGGAAAATTACAGGTTTTATAACCGTTATGGATTTATTAGGGTTTTAGTTTTCATAAAGGAGCTGGACAGTGGAGAGGCTGGAACAGTTGGACGGGTCTTGTCGACCTTTATGAGGCTTAACTTAAAAAAGAACAGGAGCTGGTGATGATGGGATTTTAAAGAGTCAAAGGAAAGCCTCTCTTAAAATCCCAAAACAATGAATCGGTTCAGTGTCGCCTTTTAAACAAAATTTATTTTTCCAAAATCTGATTCTGTTCTTGTTTCATGCAACTTTTTGTATTTTGCTCTCTGGACTTGTATAAAGGTTTATTTTATACAAAATATTAAATCTTTACATTTGACTTTGTGTGGCTGTAATCAAAAATAATGTTTGTGTTTGATCTCTGCAACAGTGGAGGAGGAGGAGCTTGGAGTAGAGCCGCTGCTCCTCCACATCAAGAGGAGCCAGCTGAGGTGGCTGGGGCATCTGGTTAGGATGCCTCCTGGTGAGGTTTTCTAGGCACGTTCAAAAATGTTAAAGTAAAATATGATGTCAAAAGCTTAAATAAATCAAAGAAACAAACTTATTTTGAGTCTTTATTCCGTTTAGTCACTGGTGGCGTCCCCAAGGGGTAGC